AACACTGCAGCTCTGAGCAAGATAAGACAACCAGATGAGCATCAGCTGAGGGAAGAGGGTGGCAGCTACACCTTCTTCTGGAAGGGGAAACTGGTCTAGGACAGATGTGTTCATGGTATCAACTTCACCATGAAGAATCAGTTCATCAATCAATTTACAGAGTTACCTGCAGCATAAATGAACATTTTATGACCCTCCATCTTAAGCTCAGCAACAAACAGTATGTCACCATCATTAGTGTGTATACCCCAATGCTTGATGCTGCTGTAATAGGGGCTCAGCCAGGAGCCCTGTTACTGAGGCAGTTTCAGGTGAGAGTGACCTGACAGTGTCCCTGCCAGGTGAAGGGAATTACACACCAGGGCAAGAGAGGGTGATTAGCGCGCCACAACGGAGATAAAAGTGGCAACGGGATACACAGTTTGTCTTCAGGCACAAGAAGAAGAAGAACGAAGAGAAGTCTGTCTCAAAGGACCAGGAGGACGGAGAGACTGTTCGTGAGTTGGAGTGAAATACAGTGCCCAGAACAACTTGACTGATTGAGTTAAGACAGGCTACGTACTGTTGAATCCCGGTGTCTTTGGTGAGTGGGGAAAACCGGGTCTTCAGGCGACAGACTGGCAAAGGGTACCCGAATGAAGAGGGTCCCCCTTTGGAGATATGTGGGCTGGAAGAGCTTCTCTAAGCCCACGAGCTCCTAAAAACTCCGCCGGTGCTAAAAGCTGCAGTGAGAGAGATGGCGGAGCAGCCGGGGCCGCTCTTAAAGAGACACTACAATTAAATGTGGGGAACTCAGCTGATTTATAAGGTAGTTTACTGAAGAGCAATATCTGTTACAAAGTTATTGTGAAGACCTGTGGGCACTGAGTTCTCTTCTGTAACTTGGAATCTCACCGCTAATGAGGCAATTAGTGGGACCATTGTTGCCCTTTAATCTCTAACAAAGGAATAAAGCCATCTTATTCAAAGTTAACCACAGAGTGACGGGAGTGCTTCCTAACCCTGTAAGATCACTGATACCCTCTTTTTTTGTTCCCACTGAAGTCGTGGCAGGCAAGTCCAGAGGGAAACCCCGTTAGGAACATTCACCCACTCACAGCTGGCAATGATGTCAGAGAAAGTTCTACTCCAACCTTGACCACATATTGACTAACGCTTGCAAGGAAGATCAGATATTCTCCTTGGTGGCTTAAACACTAGTCAGATGTGACCTAGAACTATGGAGTGGCACCATTTGGAAGGAAATAGTTGGGAAAGCCAACTCCATTGGCATTCCTTCTCCTGAGCAAATGGACAGAGCAGAGTCTTTACATCACAAACACTATCTTCAGACAGAGTCACAAACACAAGAGCATGTGGAGATACCCTTACTCTAAGTGCTAGCATCTTGACTACGTTATTGTTACATTCTGTGATTGAGTGGCTGTCAGTATCATGTGAGGAAACCATAATGACTGCTGGATGGACCTATGTCTTGTCAGATCAATTATGAACACCCAGCTTGCTCTGAAACACAGAAAAAAGCAAACAGACAAAAGCATCTCAAGCAGGTCCAAGGAGGTGGTCCTCCCCCTCTATGCGGCACTGGTCAGGCTGCAGCTGGAGTACTGTGTCCAGTTGTGGGCGCCGCACTTTAAGAGGGATGTGGACAGCATCGAGAGGGCCCAGAGGAGGGCCACTCG